GAAGTTCTGTTGTTGAAGAATAACAGAAAACATGTACCTATAAACCCGTGGCTATCACAAGCCAGTTATCCCTGTAATAACTTTTCTGAGTTTTCCTGCTTAAAAGCAAAAAATCCAGAAAGATTGTTAGTCTCTGCTTTCATGGTATATCTTCATTCAGAAAATCAAGATCAAGTGAGCTTCAGCCATTCTGCTCCACAGGATGTTTCTGTTCTCCCTGAGCTCACCCGAGGACACCTCTCAACACTGGGTCAAATGCAAGGGAATTTTTGCTTGAATAGTTGTGCCATTGCAATAAAGACAGATTTTTGAGTTGGGTTTGCGTATGCAGAGGGACCAAGAAAAAAGGAGCCTTTTATTTTTATTGTGCCTAGAATATTGAAACATCTCAAGGACATTACATTAATTACTATCAAATGTAGTAATTACTGCTGTTTGGAGATACAGCAAGGTTGCACAAACAGCTGTGGTGAATGATTAATTGATCAGGAGGATTGTTTTTGCCAAGACACCAGGAGAAACTTCCTTCTCATTTCAAACAGTCTCATGGTATTTTTAATCCCACTTAAAGAGTAATAGATTGAAGTAGATAGATTGAAGGCAAACAGGCCCTTGGTTTAACATCCAAAGAATAGCACCTTTGGTTCTCCCGAGCACTGGTCTGTAGCATTATCCTGAACAATGTGTCCAAATTGGGGTTTAAACAACAACAACAAGATTTCATTTATAGAGCACCTTTCACGTCGGGAGGACGTCCCAAGGTGCTGGATAGTTGGGTCAGAACCCGAGCAGGGGGGAAATGGTCAGGGTGAGGGGAGGGAAGGGAGTGAGCAAGGAGGGGGTAGAGAGTCGAGAGGGGAGCTGAAGGCACGGTCGAAGAGAAAGGTCTTGAGACCGGCCTTGAAGGAGGAAAGGGAGGAAGCAAGGCAAAGGCACTGGGGGATGGAGTTCATCCACATGTAAACCACAACTATCTGACCTAGAAATGAGAGACCTACCGAATGAGTCAACTGCATGGTCTTAAATTTTGGTTGGCACTAAGTATAGTGGCATATTGGCAAGAAATACAGACCATAATTAGTGAGATTCTGCCAAAGCTCGCAAACTCATTCTTACTCTACCATCCCAAATGTATCAAGGGAGCAGAGTCAGGAGAACTGGATGCTCCATGATCGCTTCTCCTCCACCTTCAACTCCTTTGTCACCCTGAAATCCAAGACCATCTCCAAATCCACCGGATCCCCCTGGTACAACAACCATCTCCGCCGACTAAAAACCCAAACCCAGCTGCTCAAGCGCAGATGGCAGAAAACTGGCCTGACAGTCCATCGCCAACTGTGGCTCGAGCATCTCCACAGCTACCGCTGTTCAAAAATGGTCTTCTACTTCAACATCATCTTGGAGGCTAAACACAACCCTAAAATCTTTTTTTCCACCACTCACTACCTCCTCTGTGCCCCCCCCTCAGGCTTCCTCAATCTTCATATCAAATGCCAAGTGCAAGGAGGTCATGGACCTCTTTTCATCTAAAATTCACAACATCCGCCAGGAAGCCTCATCCACCTGCCTCTTATTACCCACCACTATGCCCTCTCTGTCCCCCTCATCCTCCCCATCATCAGCTCCTACCACCACCCCCATCCTACATTCCTTCCTCCCCATCTCTCCCTCCTCCCTCTCACCAACCATAACCTCCATGAAACCCACCACCTGCTGCCTCGACCCCCACCCCACCAACTTGCTGGTCACCCAGCTCCCCCTCCTCTGCCCACTACTGGCTGACGTCATCAACCAGTCCCTCACCTCTGGATCAGTCTCTGCTCCCCTCAAAACTGATGTCATCACTCCCCTCCTCAAAAAGCCTTCCCTAGATCCCTCAAACCCCAGCCACTACCGCCCTATTTCTAACCTGCTCTTCCTCGCAAAAGTCCTAGAATGCGTTGTTGCCAATCAGCTTCGTGCACACCTCTCCTCCCGCTCCCTCTTCGAACCCCTCCAGTCCAGTTTCCACCCTGCCCACAGTACAGAGACTGCGCTTGTGAAAGTCACAAATGACATCCTCTCTATCTGTGACCAGGGCTCCCTCTGCCTCCTTGTCTTCCTGGACCTCTCCGCAGTGCTCAACACAGTCGATCACGCCATCCTCCTCTACCGCCTTTCCTCCGTCATCCACCGCAGTGGGAGCGCACTTGCCTGGTTCGAATCCTACCTCACAAACCGCCATCAGTACATCTGCACAAACGGCTTCTCCTCCCGTTCTCACCCGGTTACCTGCGGGGTACCCCAAGGATCCATTCTTGGCCCCCTCCTCTTTCTAATCTACATCCACTATCATCCATAAAATTCAGATCATTCAAAACTCTGCTGCCCGCATTCTCACCCGCACAAAACTCCGCTCCCCAATCACCCCAATCTTTGCCAGACTGCACTGGCTGTCTGTCCCAGAGAGGATCGATTTCAAGAACCTCACCCTTGTATTCAAGTCCCTGCACTCCTCTGCAGCCCCCTACTTCTCTGACCTCTCTCCTCAAAACAGTACCCGTTGCCTTCGTTCCTCCGGGTCTGGCCTCCTCCTCGTCCCCCGAGTCCTCCGCTCCACCCTCGGGTGCTGTGCCTTCAGCCACTATGCCCGAGGCTCTGGAACTCCCTTCCTCACTCCTTTCACATCGCCCCCTCTCTTCCTATTTTCAGGTCTCTGCTGAAGACCTTTCTTTTCGACCGTACCTTTGGTCACCTTTCTCTCCCTCCCCCTTGCTCGGCCCCGGGATCCGTTACAGCAAAGCGCTCTGAGACGCCGTCCGGCGTGGAGGGCGCTATATAAATCCAAGTTGTTGTTGTTGTTGTATCAACTTTTATTGGGGTGTTGGCTGTGTGATAAAGAATCTCATTTTGGCCAGTTTAATCTATTAAGTTAGACCAGGGTGGTCCAAATGGCAGCCCACAGGCTGGTTTCGGTCCACCCACTCCTCCCATAACCTGTACGTGCTATGTTTCTGGAAGGGAAGCACAAAAGTATTGCTTATGGGGCCTACGGATGTTTCTCAAATTGCACATCCGGTTCTCAGCAGCCAAAAGGTTTGAACAGCCAAAAGGTATTGGAAGAAGCAGGGAATTTGACATTGGAACAGTTGGCTCAAACGTAGTCGGCACCAACATAGGCTTGATTAGCTGACTAGCTTATTTTGTGTTGTCATTCCTATGATGCTGGGATAATAATAATAAAATAATAATACAAGAGTTCTGTAGCTCAGTGATTAGAGCACTCGCCTCACAAGCGAGAGACACCAAGTGGGGAGAGCGGAGTGGGGGGTGGGTGGGATTGATTTGGATAGCTCTTTTCAAAGATTTCACGATGGGCTGAATGGCCTCCTTCTGTGCTGTATAATTCTATGGTTCTATGGACCTGGGTTCAATTCCTGGCAGGGCGAAACCTTGGGCAAGTTTCTTTACTCCGCACGCCTGATAATAATCCCTCAAAAAAAATTAGAAAATTGGTCACTTCAATCCACGACTGTTTGTGGAACACTGCTGTGCGCAATTGGATGCCGCGTTTCGCCCACAAATATAGTCAATTCACTTTACAGTATATTCTATGAAGCGCTTTAAGACATCTAGAAGATGTGAAAAGCACTATATCAAATGCAAGGATTATTATTATTTTTATTATGAGCTGACTAGCTTATTTTGTGTTGCCATTTCTATGATTCTGGGATAAAATGGAGAAGTAACTTAAACACATGAGACAACTGAGATCTCATTTTGTAGTTTACTTTGAATTCTTAGGATGGTAGTCCAGCAGCCTATCTTATTCATAATTAGTTATATGTTTTAGAGAATTTCCTTGTTGCTGTACTAAAGGCAGAAGGAAATATCACAGATCTTTCTTGTTTTTCTGCTGCATCAAAACCTTCTGCACTTTAACTCCGGAAGGTGACAGGTCATCATCGTGTGGGTTATTTAACTGCTCATGGCTGTACTGCTGGCAACTCAGCAAGTGCTCTGTGCTGTTACATTTCTGAAGGATTAAGCAGCACCTGTCAATATTGATTCCAATATTGCACGCATGTTTGTCACAAAAGCGCAAAGTTATCATCAACATTGAAGGGTGATTTTTGCCTCTGTTTCCTCTGATACCTAATTGATAATTTCAGTGAACATAATAATTGCATTTGATAATAGAAGGATTATTGTATTAAGCCAACATAACAACACCAACAAAATTACATTTGTATAGTGCCTTTCACGTCGGGAGGATGTCCCAACACCCTGGACAGTGTACAGCAGTTCAGATCCGAGCTGGGGTCAGGGGGGGAGAAGGGAGGGGAGGGGAAGGGGGGTGGCCGATGCCATGGTCGAAGAGGAGGGTCTGGAGGCGGGACTTGAAGGAGGCTAAGGAGGGAGCGAGGTGGAGTGATTGAGGGATGGAATTCCAGAGGTTAGGGGCAGAGTAGCTGAAGGCTCTCCCGCCAATGGTGGGGCGGGTGGGTCGGGGGATGTGGAGCAGGCCAGAGCTGAGCGGAGGGAGCAGGCGGGTTGGTAGGGGATTAGGAGGTCATAGAAGTAGGGTGGGGCGAGGCCATGGAAGGCTTTATAGGTGAGGGCCAGGATCTTGAACTGGATCCTCTGAAGGATAGGGAGCCAATGGAGTCAGGTGAGAATGGGGGAGATGGGGTCACAGAGTAACATAAGGCATAAATAATAATAATAATAATAATCCTTGCATTTGATATAGCGCTTTTCACGTCGGGAGGACGTCCCAAAGCGCTTCACAGAACACACTGTAAAGTGAATTGACTATATATTTGTGGGCGAACACGGCAGCCAATTGCGCACAGCAATGTCCCACAAACAGTCGTAGATTGAAAATGACCAATTTGTTATTGTTTTTGGCTTTGGAGGGATTATTATTAGGTGTGTGGAGTAAGGAAACTTGCCCAAGGTTTCGCCCTGCCTGGAATTGAACTCAGGTCTCTCACTTGCAAAGCGAGTGCTCTAACCACTGAGCTACAGGACTAAACTTTCAAGAAATGGTCAATCAGCCCATCAAACCTATTCCCTCCACAGCTTGTGTAGAGTAAGTAACTCCTTTCATGCAGTTCAGCACTATTATATGCAATAAGCAATCTGTCCGAAAACGTTTTTCAGAATAAATTGCAGGCTGGAAGAAAATTTGAATTCCATTGGATGTTCTCAGTCTCACCTGATCTTTACAATCTAGATAGAGCCAAGGGATATCATGGATGTAGAACGAATTGTATTCAGTATTGAATGTTATTCTGAGGATTTCTAATGTGTCAAATAATTTATTTCATTTTCTAGGAAATCGTCTCGAAGCAAAATCAGTGGAACAGAATGAAATCCCAATTTGTGCTTTCAAGGATCCTGATTTACTTTGCTCTCATGTTTGCGATCTGTAGCTATAAAATCACAAGCTTGAATGCTGAGTCAGCTCCGAGGAAAACCTTTGAAGAGATCAAAGAGGAAATTGCTGGCTATTCAGAAATCGCCCAGCAGATTATTAACTACACTGTCTATGGAATCCAGCAGAATCGATCGTATGATAGACTTGCACTTTTTGTCGATACTATTGGAAATAGATTCAGTGGATCAAAGAACCTTGAGAAGGCCATACAATATATGTTGAAGGCTTTGTCCGAAGATAAGCAGGAAAATGTCCACCTGGAACCGGCCAAAATACCACACTGGGTGAGGGGAGAAGAGTCAGCAATGATGCTGGAACCAAAGAATTACAAGATTGCCATTCTCGGTTTGGGAAGCAGCATTGGGACATCTCCAGAAGGTAAGCCTTTCACTTTATTAGTTAGAACCATAGAAATTTACAACACAGAAGTAGATCTGAAGACATGTTCATGTTAATGCCAATCTATTTCTTACAAACAAGTGCATTCCACCCTTTAATAATAATAATCTTTGTATTTGATATATCATCCTATAAGGGTGAAAGCCTTTGTCTTTCCATTTTATCAAGTTCTTATTGAGTTCTTGCATATTCTGTTTGGGTAGTTAGAGGCTAGATTCATGGTTGTTGGTCCAAATAGTTGCTTCAAAATTTATCTATTCATTTCGAGCAGTAGGTGATGAGAAGGTAGGAATTGTAGAGAAATTCAGGGAGGTGTATAGAGCCAGAAAATGTTACCATGAAGCAATCATGTTGTTACATTCACACAAAAAGTGAAGTGGAAACAGAGGTGAAGAAGCACAAAGGCAATTGGAGCTGAATGAAAAAAAGGGTGCAGCAGCCTAGCATCTGGTGTGGCATAAGAACACAGTATCTCAGTGCTTTCTGATTGATGTCCTTGTAATTTTCAATGTAAATTCTGCAAACTGGATTAAATAAAACCTACATGCCTGGTTAACAAAAGCAGCTGAGCAACATACCAATGACAACTTTACTTCTATTGCTGCAAAGCACTGTTATGAAACTCTAAGCCTAAAATTACACCTAACCTTAAAGACCATTTTATCTTGATACAACAACTTATTTATATAGCACTCCTCACACAGGGTAGCGTCCTAGAACGTTTGATAGTGACTGTGCACGATGCTGAGCCAAGGGGAGGGAGAGGTGACTGTAGGCGCAGTCGAAGAGGAAGAATACACAAAATTGTGGGAAATTCTTAAATTTAGCTTTAATTTGGAAGTTGATTTTCAGCAATTCTCAATAAGAAGCAGAATCCAAATTAAGATGGGATTTAAGAATTTTCCACAATTAGCTCGATACTAAGTATAAAACAAAATAGTTCTAAGGATTAAAGCCTAGGTGGAAGGACTTTCAGGCTTCTGTTCTGGTATTGCAATGTTTGAAAGAGCAGAAACATGATGAATTGATTCATTAATAACTAATGTGCAATTATCAGATTTTTGTAGAACGCATTTGACGTTTTAGAAATTCAATAATTTCTTATTTGGTTCTTATTAAGAAGTCTCTTAACAAACCTCTCAAATTAGACAACACTGTAAGTTTGTTGTCCTAACAAGGATAATTGCAGCAATAAGCATAATGGAGATTTGGGAAATAGAAGGTTTTTTAACGTGCAACATATTAAGACTAAGAGGTGAGGAGTTAGGTGTGTGGCGAGGGGGAAGGGGGGTGGGGGGGCAAGAGGGGAGAAGAACTCACAATATATCCTTGTTATGTGTCAATATAAATTCTGGAAACAGGATTAAATAAAACCTACATGTCTGGTTTAAAAGCATTTCAGGAAATTTCAATACAGAAAATGTCTGGTATTTCTAACCCATTAACAAGAGAAAGAAAAATGGATCTGAATTTGAAAAAAAATGCTCCTCAGGTTTGAGATTACACCTAGTGATTGCATTATGTAGTTACATAGAGTTAAACAGTGATGTAGCAAGGAAACAGACCATTCGGCCCAACTAGTCTGTGCTGGTGTCTAAACTCCACACAAACTCTCACCCCTCTTATTCCCCCCCACCTATATCCCTGTATTCCCATCTCTCTCATCTCTGTGTCACATTTTCTCCTAAACATATTAATGGTTTTTGCTTAAACCACAATTTCCTCTTAGAAGCTAGGAAGGAATTCTCAGCCTCTCGCGTAAGTGATAACTTTACTCGTGCCTGGTAACAGGAACGGCATGTTGTGATGTAAACTCTGGTTTTCTGCCAGGAAGTGTATGTACATCTTCTGATTCATGAGACTTTGAATATTGCTGATGATTGCATCAGAAGGAATGCAAGCAAAAATTCTTAAGACCATTATGATACAAGTAGAGGTGTGTTAGTTTCTCTGATTCAGTCAGGATAACATATAGTCCATCTCAAAAAGGCCAAGTTCCTTTGAATATGTTGTCTCTATTTTTGGAGCATTTTGAATTTGTAATTTGTAAGATATCTTCTCGCTTGATATCAATTCTTTAATAATAATAATAATCCTTGAATTTGATATCGCGCCTTATCACGTCTTCTAGACATCTCAAAACGCTTCACAGAGTATACTGTAAAGTGAACTGACTGTATATTTTGTGGGTGAAACGCGGCAGCCAATTGTGCACAGCAGTGTCCCACAAACATTCATGGATTGAAGTGACCAATTTATGACCAATTGTTTTTCTTGAGGATTATTATTAATTGGTGGGGTATGTCCATCGGTCTGTCCTCCCAAAATTCTACCTAGTCTTAGCCTGTAAGACCATTTGGTATTATAATTTAAGATTATGCAGAATGGTCTTTAATTCAGTCTTTATTTGGAAAATGTTTTTCCGCAGTTCTTAAAAAACTGGACGGTTTCCATATTTTGACTGAATTTGAGAATTTTCCACATTTCCGCATGATCTTAAATTTTAAGACCAAATAACCTTACAGGCGAAAACTAGGTAGAAATTTGTGCCTCTGTTGCTGCATTGAACAATGTTTCAGAGAAGAAATATAAAAAGGTATGGGAAAATAGCAGGGAAATGGGACTATAAATGAATAGCCCTTTCAGAAAGTAAGCACAGGGACAATGGGCCGAATGACCTAATTCTGTGCTTTTATCTATATGAAAACATACAATAGTCTTTTTTGAACCTTAGAAATTATAAGACTGAAAGCTCCAGTGGAAAATATATTGGAGTACATTATTAAGAAAGTAATTCAAGCAAATCTAATGAAAACCGAGGCAATGTGGGTTCATGAAAAGACTACTCATGCCCAACAAATGGATTGGAATTCTTTTCAATTTGTAACCAAGTTGGTAGATGCTAATAACGTGATGGTTGTGATATATTTTGGCTTTCATAACATATTAGCTTAGGTCACAAGAGACTTGTGATTTAAGTGGAATCTCATGGGAACAACCAGGAAGTCGTAAATTAGAGAATGCTTCAGTAACAGAAGTGGGAATCTGTCAAGATTTCTAACTGGGTAATTGTGATTTATAGACTTCATGAAGATTGGTGTATGATTTGAGGATAATGTGAGTAAAATATTGACGTCAGAGAGGCAGGGACACTGGGTTATGTAGGAAAACAGATGTTCGAAGGCGAGAGAGAAGTTCTTCAGAGGACAGAAATTCCACCTAATGTTAGCCTGTAAGAGCATTTTGTCTTCAAGTCACACGAGTTAAGATTGGTTAAACTACATTTGGAGTACAATGTTTAGTTCTGGTTTCCATACTTCAGGAAAGATGTTACAGCATTGGAGAGAATGCAATGTAGATGTACTGGATATTATCAGGGATAATAGGATACAATCATAAAGAAAGACTGGACAGGTTAGAATGTTTTATTCTCGAGAGGAGGCATTTGAGTGGGGGCTCAGTAGAGGTATTTAAAATTATAAAAGGGTATCGATAAGATGAACATAAATAGGATGTTTCCAATTGTTCGTTAGTCCATTACAAGGGGGCATACATATAAGAAAACCACTAGCAGATTTAAAACATGGTTTACAAGGAACCTTTTTACACAGAGGGGGTAAGAATGCAAACTCACTACTAAACATTGTGGTTGGACAGAAAGCATCAATGCATTTAAGAGAAAACTCAATGATGCATGAGTGAGAAGGGAATAAAGGAGGAGAATAGGGAGAGGGAATTAGAAGGGTGGAGGCTCATGTGAAGCAAAAATGCATGGACTAGTTGGACCAAATAGCCTGTTTTAGTGCAGTACGCTCTATGTAATTCTATATAATTGCAGAATTGTGGAAAGTTCTTCAATTCATTCTTAATGTGGAAAATGCTTTTCTACTGTTGTTATTAAAATGCTTTTAAATTAAGACTGAATTGAAAAATTGGTGTCACCCTGGCTCAGTTTGTAGCACTCCTACCTCTGACTCATAGCTTATTGGTTAATGTCCCATTGGGACATTAAACCCACAAATCTAGGCTGACACTCCAGATTAGGTCTGGGGGTACGCTGCATTGTTGAAGGTGCCACCTTTCAGATGAAATATTAAACCGAGGTCCCCCTGCATGTTCATGTTCATGCAAAACACCCCATGGCACCATTTGAAGCACTCCGAGACGCCATCCGGCATGGAGGGCGCTATATAAATCCAAGTTGTTGTTGAAAAGAGAAGGGAGTTTCTCTCAGGTGCTGGCCAACAATCCCCAAAATAAAATTGGTCATTCACTTTATAGCTTTATGTGGGACACTGCTGTGCACTAATTGGCTACTGTCTTCACCTACAATAAACACAGTGACTTTACAGTAAATCCTGTGAAGCAGTTTGAGACATCCTCTTGACGTGAAAGGCACGATATCAAATGCAAGGATTATTATTTTCACAATTTGCTTACATTTAATGTTAAGACATATGAAAGAACGCACATTGATTCTTTTTTAACTAAGCCCTTGACTGTTCTAATATTTGCTTCACTGTCTTGACCTGTGTCCTCTTGTCTTGATTAATCTGAATGTAATGTTCTGGGATTAGTTTTTCAATCTCATTTAGAATCATAAACCTCTACAAAAATCCCCTCTGAGACATGTCTTTTCACAAAGGCACCTCCAATGAGATCAGTGCTGAGGAAGCGATGCATTAAGTGTCAACCTAGACTGGGAAGTGACAGTTTAACATCTCGGAAAGATGAATGGCTGTAACGATAAACTGGCTTCTCTGTCAGATACTGTGGACTTCCTTCCATCCTGTTTTTGTTTCAGTTTTCCAGCACCTGCAGTATTCTATTTATTTCTCTTTCCGAACTCAGATGTCCAAACACAGGCTGCCAAGGCACATACACTTCACTCAGTGCTGACAGACCATGATTAAATACCCCTATGTTTGGTGTGTCTCAGAGGCCGTGGAAAATCATACATTTTCCAGCATAATTGACTT